AGGAATTGCTGCTTCAATTAGTAATTAAAAAAAATTTTTTCTGCATTCCAGGGCATCAGGCACCTAACCTCTTTCGAGCAATAACTTTTAGAGGCAATGCAGTCTGCAATTTTCTCATGTCTTAGCTGCAAATGAGCCATTAGCATTCAGGAGCCGATAATTTGGCCCTGTGAGTTGTGGTTTTCTTAAAGAACGTGTGCCAATTAAGCAAGATGAACCTCAGAGTTGTCAGCGCAGTGATGATGTAGCAAGTTATAGTCATCAGCTCTTCTAGGAAATAATAGGTGTTTTGAAGAACATCGTCTGACAAATCTGTACTTTGTGGGATCAAGTGCAAAGAAATCACTCATAAATTGAATGTCAGTGGATGAACCAGAAGTAAATCTTGTTAGCTTTATATGAGTCTCATCATCAGCTTCAGTCAGCTTAATGCAGTGAATACAAGTCTTAAATGTGTGCTTAGGATAATGAGAGCAAGTCCTGGCTCATCACTTGTGGGCTCATCACTAATCTGTGTCAGTAGTGCTCGAGAATCAGAGTACAAGAGGCATCACAGTCAAGAGTAGTTGTCATCCCTTAGAAGCCATACAAACCAGTGACCATGTCTGTACTGCCAGTCAAATGTTTTATCCGTTTTAGGTACTCAGACTGTATCTGTAAGAGGAAATCCCTTCTTTTTTTTTTTTTTGTTTGTTTGTTTGTTTGTTTGTTTGTTTGTTTGTTTTTCCCACCCCTTTTCTGTCTTGGTTTTTACTGACATAAGGATCTGGAAGCAAGACAATTTAGCAGCTCTTGTAGAGGTAGAAGAATGAAGAGGAGCAGCTGCTAATTTAATTGAAATGAGGATGTGGCCAAAGATCTGGAATAATAATTGCAGCAATTCTTCTGAGAGCTCTCATGCACATCTTTACACCACAGAAAAAAACATGCATGGGGCAGCTGAAACTATGCTGAGCTTGAGTTAATGTAACCAATGGAGGAGGTATGCCTGGAATGTTCCACTTAAAACATCAGCATTATTTTTTTAAAAAAGGAGGAAACTCAAGGATATATCTAGCTTAGTGATATTTTTTTTTTTTTTTAGAGCTATGTCATGATACATAGTAATCAGAAATTAATGGAGAGTTGCCAGGTGATTGTACTATTTTAAAGATTTAAAATATATGTGTTCAACTTTAGAAGAAAACAGATTATACAGAAAGATGGAAATTTACTTGCAGTTTTGAATCTTGTAACATTTCAGATAAAGTGAATTTTGCATAACTTCAGGTCTGAGTGGAGCCCCCTTACTGTGTCTGTGACAAAAGTTGCCAGTTCATCCAGTAACTCACAGATTTATTTGATGTTGCAGAAATGTGCTGCCATCTTTAGATGCAAACAGTAGGAGAATTGATAAATCTCCATTGTAAGAAACCCTAAAACACTTTTCATCCAGACTATTCATTTCCTCAGTCAATGTCACAGCCTGGTAGCACAAACCACTACAATACCTGGTGAGCTGATGCATGAAAGGAGGGACAAAGGGTGGTGAAGGAGAGTTTTTATCCATCTAATCCAGCCACAACTCACTTCTTATGACAGGAGCATTTTAACATATGTTTTTGGAGGAATCAACACAAGGAGATATCTATATCCTGGTATTTCCATCATTAGACTATATAACTAATCTTAGGATAGATGAAAACAAAGTGAATGCTACCCTTTCTGCTAAATCTTTTCATTTTGACAGAAAACTGTATTTGTGATTAAAGGTTTTGAAGTTAGTATCTTGGTTTTGATTTCAAAGAATGGTAACCTTCTGTGAAAAGTTTTGAGTTTCCATTAAAAACAAAAGTTTCTGAAACCTTTTTACTTGGGTGCACTACCATATCATTTCCCAGAATTTAAAGAGCAGTTCATTTGTGGTCTCATTCTCTCCTCAAGACATGCTCCTTTTATCTCCTGTTCTAAGTTTTCAAAAACACGATCCATGAGAATGTATTGTGTCCTTGGGGAATCTGGCTTAAAAACGGGAATAGAAATGGAAATGGAAATGGGAATGACACTAAATGAGCCCTGGAGGGGGAGTTGGTGACCAACTGCTGATTAACCACAGTCATGCCACATGGGATGTAGTTCTGCCCTGGACAGTGAGTTTACAAAAAAATTATTAAAGGACAGAGATCTCCTCCATCATAAAATGGTTGACATGTGAAAGCTTTAGATCTATGTCCCCAGTGCAATGACTAGCACCAAACTGCTATTCCTGGGAAAAAGAAGGTAGACAGGACCCCATTCCTTTGCTGGAATAGTCCCTGTTTGATTAGAGACCTGTTTGAATACTTTCAAGATACTGTCATTGCAATTGAAATAGAAATAAATTTAAAACTTTTCATCTGGACCATGTTTTGGGCTTGTTTGACCAATGTGAGAGGTTCAATTATAATCTTTAAATGCTTTCCCTTCTGGGGAAAATCAAGCCTATCTCTCTGTGTCCCAATGGACTGCCTCAAGGAAATGTCCCACATCATTTCAATGTACTAATAGCAGTGTAATTAGAAAATATTTAGTCTTTCTACCATGAATGCCTTCATTTACAAAGAGAAATATGGCACCAATGTGGAAAGACTGGAAAAAGAAAGATAACTCTGTAAAGTTTAATTTAAATAAAATTAAATGTGATATAAAAAGCCTTAAGGCCTTTAAAGTATTTTCATTTTAATCCTCAGTATCTTGTAATTTTTATTTTATTTCTTGTATTGTATTTCAGAAGAAACTGTGTTTCTTGTTGCCACCCTTCAGGAAATTATATCCATTTCATTATCCTTTCTGAATGGAAAGAAAATAGAATATATTACTATGATCTCTATGGCTATTGCAGCCTTGCAAAATCAGGATTTCAATATAGCACCAAACTATTCTAATCAAAAGTTAGTATATACTTTCAAAGGTCCCATTTAAGATTGGTGTCTAGTCTCATTCTTTGATTATAGAGAATACCAACTGTAACTCAAGTGTGGAAATACTGCTAAATGGACGTATAAGTCTATAAACTTTTTATGGCATATTTTTAGGGTTCATTTTTAATGCCTAGCCACAGGCATCTGGTAATATCTAAGATTGTCCAGGTCTTCTCCAGACCAACAGCTGTGCCTGTGGACAAAGCAGGTCACCTATTATTTGTTCTGATTTTTCTAGTGTTCATGTTTTCTGTGGTTTTTTTATATGCCTAGCAATAAATATGCTTCAGTAATTAAGTTAATGTCACATCTGATAGGGAAATAATGTACACACAGGTTTAGTGCTTCAAATCTGTCAGTAGCTCTACATGTCATCTTGTGAAACTGAAACTGCACGAGCAGAGTTATACTGTTGTTTGTTCCTACCGTGTCTGGCCAGCATGATGACTACAAAGATTTGCTGGTAATCTGCTGGGCCTCAATTGCAGGTTATTGCTGATATGATCAGGTGCAATTTATTTTTATCATCTGCATTCATTTACCTCTATTTCAAGAGTGGCATGCAAATAAATACACAAAAGTTCATTGTGTGACTGAATATGACTTAAGTGTATCAGTTTTTAAAAGTGCAGAAGGAAAAGTGGAGGACAAAGCAGGCTGTTCTGGTGGTGTACGATTGTTGTGGAGAAAGAATTTTCAGACAAAAGCATCTAAAATGGAGACTAATAACCCCTTGAATCCAAGCTCTTGGTTGCAGGAGCTGGCAGTCTAAAGTGGTAGAGTTGGTCCTGACTGCCCGAGCTGGGCTTCTAAAAGTCTTTAGATGTGTCTGAGTCCCTTCCAGTGGTGAGGCTGGTCCCTGGGAAGCCCAGACACTGCCTATTGCTGGTAGGAACCTTTGTGGTGAGCCCTTGCCTGTTTCTCATTGATACCTAGAGGTTTCCAACAATACAATTTACTCTTTTCACAGGGAAGAGCATTGTAAGTGTGTTGAGGATCTTTGATAAAAGAGAAAGCACGTAGAGTTACACTTGTTTCCTATCTATAAAGCCACTTTCTGATTATTCAAGTTGCTCTACTGCAACACAGCAAGCCAGGAAAACTAAAGCAAAGTTTCTTGAAACATGTAGAGGGGGAAAAAAATGTCATCATTATGGATTTATCTTTGTTTTGTTCCTTTTTGGAAATTTGTTGAGGGAAAAACATCACCAGGACTTCTATGCCAGTACCTTGACGTAGAGCCCTGAATTCTCTTGCAGTGTTTTATTTCCTTCCTGTGCATGTGTGGTTGCCATCTGCAGTAATCAAACTCAATCAGCAGAAGGAGTCAACTGCTCTGCATTAACTATTGTTCTCCTGACTGCAGTATTTTATAATAGATTTTTAAGATCTGCACTGACTCATACAATGCATATCTAATCAAAGGTAAATTAAACTGCATACGCTGACTTGATATGACAGAAAAGCATTTACAACTGCAGAAAAGTGACATTGATTTTTAAATAAGATTTTTTTTTAAAGTTAAGTGTTTTGTTGGCATATTATTATATGTCCTTAAATCAGACTTTCAATTTTTAATTTGTGTTTTTATTCAAGGTTATTTGAGTCCTTAAAATTTTCATGTACTTAAAAATTTCATACACTTAAGCAGAATTAGAGTTCATACATATTCATAGCTTGAAGAATTATGCTAACAACAGTTCTTTGTCATTTTAGGCAGTCTTTAGAAATTTTCACCAGCATTTTAAACCTGTTATGTAGCACCTATGTTTCTAAAATTGCTGTAAATCTGGTCATCACTAATACAGCTATATTTGCTTTTTGACACTTTAATTTGAATTGTATGTCAGCAATATAAAGAATAATAAAAATTATATATCATATTAAATAATAATATTTTAAAAATTAAAGTATTATAGTTTAGCTATAAATTTGACCAGTGAATTAGTGTCTACATAAATGACACCAGTGTAGTAAATAAAGAGTTGTAACTGGCTTATTAGTGTAGATATCTGCATAAGCTGCAAAACCTGCCCAAGAAGCCAATTAATTCCCCTTAACACAGCACAGCAACTTCATATACTGTTACTGATCTTTGAGGTGGCTTCAGTGGCTGTGGTTTCAGACCAAGGTGTTGGGCAAACAGGGTTGTACTATGTATTGAACATGTGCTTTCTGTCTGTAACAGACCCAGAATGTCCCCCTCCCACAGAAATATGTCCTACAGCATTCCAGGAAGCTTCAGCTCTTGACTCATACAGATTCTTTTCAGTTCCAAAGGGCTTGAAGCACATTTTGTTTTTTGAAGAAGAAGTAGCTCCTGAGTCCCTAGTTATGATCGCTGTGAGGGTTTGCACATGTATTCAAATACTGCCCCTGCAGGTGCACTGTTCCCTAATCCCAGAACTTTTGGGGAGACACATTTTACAGTGTGATAATTTTTATTCTAGATGGCTCTTGCCAAATATCAACCAAAAATATTTTTATCCAATCCATAGGCAGCCCTGAGGGTGTAACTCTTTCAATCTTCCAGAAGATTCTCCTTGTCTGTTAATAAGCAATGCTTATACAGCATTTTTAAGCATTAGTCCCCACAGCAGCCTCAGAAATTCTGGAACATTATCCCCATTGTTTATATTTGAGAAGGTCTGCCTCTGAACTTGTCACACCATCGTACTAGATTCCCAATCCCACCTGCTCTCTTACAGAAGTCCTGCAGTCTGCTGTGTCTTACCAAAGCTTTCTGCCCAGGATGTGCACATTTGATGCAATCAAAACGGTGAAAGGTAGGAGGGCTGCAGATACTGTTTCCTATATTTCCTGTGGTTTTCTTGTGAGCTTTTTTTTTTTCATGGTTGTTAGATAAGACTGTTATCCCTTTCATCATAATAAGAAATTAATCATAATTAAGTATTCTGGAGATTGTGGAGATTTCCCTTCAGTCAACACTTATGCTAAGTTAGCTGGCTTGTTTCTGGATTTTTGCCTAATTTCCCTTTGAAACTACTCAGAAAAAGAAACCTGTCATAATGTCAGGACAATTAAGTGGCACAAAATTAATCTAGATTGTAATAAAAAAATCAGTCTTCATGTTATGAAGTTATATAGGAGTTTTAATGAGAAAGAAAACAACTAATATATGCAACAGCCACCAAAGAAAGAAAGTCATTAATATATTTTTAGTACTCTCTTTATATTAATAAATCTAAAGCAAATAATTATCTGAAGGAAATAGAAATATATTATTTTAACTAAATTTCCACAGGAATTTGACTTATTTTCCTTCTGTGGGGAGTAATCTGTATTAATTATCTTCAACTCTGCTACTTTAATGGAAGTAGTAGAATTTTTTCCTTAAAAGCAGTCTGATGACTAACAGAAATGACAGTACTCTTACTAAATTGCTTATATTGTGGCATAGTGACTTTGGAAAAAATATAAAGCATGATGTAGTTTTAAAATCCCTGTTGTGTTGTAGCATGATTTTCCTCAAACAAGCAGGAATTCTTGAGATGGAATTGCGTGAGTGTGCATCATGACATAGCATCATTTATCTAGCAAACAATTTGCTCAAGATCTAAAAAGCAACTCCCAAAATATTAACTGAAATATTTTACTAACTGACTGCTTTATTCTGTATATGTGGGAAATCCCACTGGATTTTCTGCCCATTGTACCAGTGTACACTCATTGTGCCAGTGGTTGATTATCCTGTTGGATCCAAACCTGAATTCCTTGGGAGCTCCTAGATGTTCAAAACTGTTAAAGCATTTGCAGACATTTCAGCATGATTGGACCAAAATGAATATTTGACCATGCAGATATGGCTTTTTTTTCCTGTGATTTGGTTCCCAGATGGCATTGCAATGAATTCACAATTCTACACTGATAAATAATAGCAATACAGAAATGTTTTCAATATGCTTTAATGTTGCAGTGCATACACCATTGAGCAGAAACTACTTAGACCAATTTAGTGGAAAATATTTAATTTATATTGCTATTTTTAAATATTATCTGAATGTTACAATCTTGGAACAGCAGGAACATTATATCACCATTATTTGAGAGACTTTAATATAAATTCAGCTAAAATGTGTCTCATCTTTGAAGTATCAGTAGTGTCTTCTTTACTTTTACAAAAATCCAGTTTAAAGAAAAAAATATCATCTTATGCTTCTTTGATTTTGATGTCCTGTGTTGCAATAGACTTCAGAATAAATAACAGCACTTTCTCCTTGCTTGCTAAAAGCTGATTTAAGGAGATTATTCTGAATTCCCTGCACTTGGAAATGAAAAGCTTCTTCTTTCCACCTTGAGAGACATTAAATTGCTGAAGTGTGTCTCCTGTGTTTTTGTAAGTTGTGCTTAATGATTATTTATTATTATATTTGAATACAAAAGCATGTATATTTATTGCACTTTTTTAGACCTTATTAGGTCTGTTTAAGCAATTTCAAAAATAGAGTAATTTAGAAAACAGCAGCAACAAAAGTCCAACAAACAAACAAAAAAAAATGCAACCCAAAACTAAAAAAGAGACTATTCAAGCTGATATAATTGAGATTTGGTAATAAAAACACTTTTTCATGTCTCTACCAAGACATTTAAATTTGTGGTTTTACATTTCTATCAGATATTCTAGACTAATACTCAGAATGGGCAAAACAAAGATATTTATTTGAGAAAAGTATCTAGTATATACTATCACTTTTTAAAATGCACAGTTTCCAGAAAACCAGAACTTTAGAAATATAACAATCCCTAAATGTGAAGTGAACATCAATAAGGTTCAGATATGCAACACAGAGAAGTCTGAGAGTTGTCATTCCAGAGCACAGAAATCCCTACTGTATAAAGGGACCTTTTTTGCTATATTACTACTTATTAAATTCTGCCCTTAAGTCACAAATTCATCTTCTGCCAGTAAGCTAGAAATAGCACCACAGTTGCCTGGGAGTGAATAAATTTTATTTGGATGCAGTTTTATTTCTCTAGTACATTTTTAAGCTAACTTTTTATTTTTATAGACGAAGGGAGTGGGGAGAAGACTAAGACGAGAATTCCTCAAAACAAGTGTTTCCTTCAGAAGTGCACTGGCTGTGAGGGCCTTGCATAAAGAAATCATTCACACATGCCCTGGTAAGCTGGAGTTCATTGAAGAGACACTGGGCTGCCCATAGCAGTTCTAGCCCACAGGCAAAACATTCTTCTGGCAAATTGCTATCAAATTCCCACTGACTGTTCACTTAAAGAGCAATTCATAAGTGCATTTTTTTTTTTTTTATAAAAGGAGAGTAGGTCTATGTTCCTGATGCTCAGAGATGCCCAGCCCTGGATAGCAAGATCTATTTCCTCTCGCAATAGGAAATCAATGGCAAAGAATTTTGTGAAATTATTTTTTTATAATGAAATATGTTAATGAAAATACTCTGCATAGAAAGATCTCACTGCATTAAAAACAAGCTGTCCTCCATGGCTATGACATCTAAGGGGTAGAAAAGACCATTACAACAAATTGTATTCTCTTGTTCTAGATTTTTTGTTGTTATTCACCTGGCTGAGTGCTCTTCAGTGGGAGATGAAGAATTAAATGTTCCCTCTGTTTGTTTTTATCATTTTTTATTTGCAGTTGTAATATGGGGAGCCCAAACCTTCATTTTTGTATGAGAATGTCTCCAGAACATGGAGATAAAACATTGAAGAACATAATTTGAATTACAAAACTGGCAAAAATGAGATTTATTGAAAAACCTATGATATGTAAAGAGCAACAATTCTGTCTCTCATGTTCACATGTGTAAGCAAACGTTAATAATTTTCTCTTTAAGTAATCTTTTTAGACAATGATTTCCAGTGAGTTTTGCATAACAGTCTTTGTTCAATAATTATTACATTCCTTACTTTAAGGTACCAATGTCTAAGTATAGGGATCTTTATTGTTTTAAATGAAATAGAAGTACAGGTTTGGGTTTGGTCAGGGTTGTTTTGTTAGTTTGCAGAATAGTGGTAATTTATTCTTGGTTTGTTCCTGAACAATGACTAATCTGTTATACATCTGTAACAAGTTCTGCACAGTGAATTACTTTTTCAGGTGGTGCCAGTGTTGGGGTACAGCTTAAGTCTGGAAACAGTGGAGGGTATTTCAAGTCACCCATGTTTTGTTTCTTGTAATTTATTAGAAAGTTTGATAAGGGACTGTGCTAGGGCCACAAGATAAATAGGATGTGAATTAAAAGCTGGTATTTACACTCGTGGTTTTACCACCCTGTCAATGCAGCATTACATTGAGTGTGAATTTCCCATCACTTCTCCTAGTCTGTACACTGTCATCTTCCCCACATCTGTTTCTCAGATGACTAAATTCGCACCTGTTGTCCTCCAGCTTTTTCCTTATCTCTTCATTGATGTCCTGGGTCATTTTGTTATCATTATTCTTCCTCTGTGCTTCATTAACTCTTCTTCTCCTTAGAGCACCCTCTTTCAAATTCCCAACATAGCCTCAGCTCCACTGCTACTTCCTCTGTTCCCTGTTTTCTACCTGTTGATTTAGAAATCTCATGTCGGATATTTTTAGAATTTTTTTTTATAAAAAATTAAATGTTTAAAAAAATAAAGAAATGTAAAGCATTCACTATAAATTATATGCTTGATACCAGTTGTGAGCCCCATTGTGTTTGTAAATCATACTGTTTGCTGCAGCCCGGCACTGCCGTGACGTTGCCATCCTGGTACTCACAGGTCCCACTGACGCTCTGTGTAGAACTCTGGCCATTTCCACAGTCAGATCTACTCCCCATCCATGTTCTTTGGCTGTGAGGATGACTTCATGTAGAGAGCTGGGCTGGTGTCTGAAACTCCTGTGAGGGTCACTGCCCAGGCATGCTCAGCATCTGTATGCCAGATCAAGCTCCCACTCCTGGCCGCAGGAGCGGGCGCTGCCAGGATCGAGTGTTGTGCAGCTGTCCAACAGCGGATATCCGGAGTGCCACTGCCCTCAGTGCAGCACGAGCCCTCTCCAGCAGCAGGATTGCCTCCTGGCAGGAGCAGTGGGAAAGGCTTCAGGTTGCGGGACTGGCAACCTGCTGAACGCTTTTAACTTGGCAGTGTTGCCACCAAGGGGACAGCTGGTCCTGGGGAACCAGGCACAAATGCCATGCTGCACTCCTCAGAGTTCACAGGCAATGTTCTTCATAGCTCTTGGGGCCAGAGGTGGGCTGAGGATAAAATTTTCTTTTCCCTACTCCATTTCCTTGCTGCATCTGTTTGCTCTGTAATTTCTCATTTGATTGACTTGGAATCAAATTTCATCTGATGCCATCTAATATTGCATATTTCGAAAGAGGAGAACCAGATATGGTTTTCTGTGGTGTAACTCCCTTTGTGGAAGGGTTCTATGATGAAGTTAGGCTTGGTTGAGTTCTGAGCATTGTGTAATTGCCATTGAAAGTTCCTATACTTACCAGAGCTATTAACTCTTAATACGTTTTACACCATCCAAGTTCCTGAGAGTCACTGATAAACTTTTACAAACCACAGAAATAGATTATTTTGTTGATTCAGTGCAAACTTTACCTTTTTCAGTAAGTTTTTCTTCATTACTCTAAGAGACTCACAAATACACTATTACTTTGCAGTACCCATTTTCTTGTGAGGTACTGATTTTAGTGTGCTTAGCCACACACTGAAATTTTCCATATAGATGTATGAGAAATATAGCAGGTTATATTTACAACAGTTTATTTGATTACTCATTTCTCCTTGAAACAGAAAAACCCTTATGAGC